GCCACCGAGTCACCAAACGCTGGCTCGGTCGGTGCCGAGTCACCAATTGCTGACCCGCGTGCTGGTTCATTTCCGTCTGCAGAAATTTCGCCTTCTGCGACCAGTTTCAAGTCTCCGACAGCTCCTGTTTCTGCTCCGGTGACTTCCTCACCTCCTGTAAAACCCCACAGCGGCGTGAACTCATCCCGAGTTAAAATGAGCGTTATGGATCGTCTCGGCCCTTTACATAAGGACAAGAGCCGCATGATTTGTCAAAATGGGGGTCGGGAGCGAGTCTCCAATAACTCAAAAGCCCCTTATACAGAGAAAGTACCAGTAACCGCTCGCCTTGGGCTGCGGGTAGAAGTTCGAGATTCAGTTGAGCCCTCACGCGCACGAAGGCGAGTCTTCAAACGAGCAACTCTGGAAAATAATGATAAGGCGATATACCCTCAAAGAGAACTTTATTCGTCAGAAGAAGACGGCGATAGAATAAGAGAATTATGTCAGCACAAGATAGGTTGCTCCGATAATCATATCGACGAGCTGTACTATCAGACTGGGGGTATGAGTAAATCTCGGAAGAGAAACTCCCGAGAAAGGGATTCTCGTTGTCCTTGTACTAAACTCATCAAGGCAGTGTTAGCAGAATGTAACTGCTCCAAGACTGCCTCGCAGAGAATTTCAGTATTCGAAAGACTTTCTACAGAAACGGAGAGAAACAAATCAAGGCGTTTCCGTAAAAGAAAGCCATCCGTTCAGGAACATGAACTCTCGGAATTCACGATTAATATGGCAGAAAAAGGAAAGTCCACGCGGCGCTACCACCCTGAGCCTTTTTCACAAGTGTCCAAACGGTTAACTCGGTTGCAAACCGGGGCTATAAGGCCTAGGGATTTCAATTACAACAGGACCCGGAGAGGACAGTCCTCAGACGAAGAAGCATCGGATGCTAACTCGGCGATTGCCTCAGATGCCACCGTATCCAGTACGGGGCAGTCTCGAGAGTCATTCATGATCACTACTGAACAAATGGCTCAACTTCTTCAAGAAGCTTTGGCAAAGCAGAAGGAGGACTTTAAAATTGAAATGGAGATGACTGTGCAACAGATTAAAGATTTACACGCACAACAACTCCAACAGCTGACAAACCAGCGCGGTGAATCTAGTCGTCGTCCGACCGCTAATCGGATAGATAGCGACTCAGAGGTAGAAGAAAATCTTAACATCGAGACTCCCCGCGAGAACAGGAATACGGAAGGCGTTCTTAACGCTGGGGGTGGTATCAATAT